CTTGATATACCTGTAAGTCTCTGGGATTCCTAGAATGAAATATTCTGAGGTTCCCATTCTTCTCAATGTTATATAATTTTTAAGATCCACAGTACCAGATTCTTTCTAGAGTCAATAAAACACAAGTAAACATCTTTCTGGTATTCTCTGCTTCCAGTTAAGACCCACCTGACAACAGCAATGATATCCTGGGTGAGGCTGTGCAAACAAGGTACTTGTGATTCATCAAGGGGACTATATAGTTAGCTAAGAATGGAATAGAGTGCACCCTGGTGTGGGTGGTGCAGTACAAATACGGCATATGGAACCTATGCCTAATGAGGTGATTGGTCAGGTTTCCATTCTGCTAGGCTTAAAAGGAGCCATCTCAGAGGTGGATGTTACTGTCATTAGGTGCCTTTAAGTACAACTCAGCAGTGCTATGAACAACACATCTGAACCTTGTACTATCCTGTGCCGTCCTCATCATCTCTGACACATTGGAGCCCATTGGTGCAGTCACAAAGGTTGGTGGGGTGACATCAACATTACTGAGAAGAGATGGAGCAGTGAGTGTCTGTGCTGAGAACCTCTTATACTCAAGAGACAGAGAAAGGTACTTTAGCACCAGAGACCATGCAAGACGGTGACAAGTGGTAGCAGAGACAGCTACAGCAGAGTCGTTGAGAGACCTCAATGCGGGCTTTCTCGCCCGTGGGTGTGCCAACCAACAGAGCTGAGGTGGCAGGCTTCATCAGAGAGGGGGGTTTCTGGACAGTTGTCCATGGAGTGAGGCTTGCTGACACAGAGCTCTGCAGAGCGAGAGAGCTGAGTACCTTCAGGCTGAGGCTTACTGGTGGAGAGGGGTGCCCATGGAAACTTAGTTGCAGAGGCCTGTCTCACCAAGAGGCTCAGGATGCCAAAGGAGCGGCCTGCCTGTGGTTACAGCTAATGAGCTATCCTGGCCAAAGCACTGTATCTGAGATGCTCCTGATCCTGAATTATACTTGTTTTTACTTCCCTTATGCATGAGCTGTTAATGATCAACGTAACAGTGGATAAGCCCCTTACCTCTAAGTATGCCTGTAAGTTCTATGTGGCCATTGCAATTAATTCTTGAACCCAATTAAGAAGTTCCATGGGAGGGATGGCTAGTGTTAGAACCGGTAAAATAGCTGGGGTAGAGGCATTTCTGACATCTGCTTTATAGGACTCAGCCTTGGACTAATGCTGAACCTCTCTCCTCTTATACACAGGTCAGATTCCTCCATCACACCATTTTTTTTTGTCAGCTGTTTTGGTGTTATGTATGTACACTCAAATTGGAACCGACTCACAGCTGACCTTCCAACATATTTTCAAAAGTTAGTTGCACAGATGAACACTGTCCATTTCTCTTCTAAGGAGGTTTGGACCCTGTGACTTTTTGGGGTTTGCTGTTCATCTACTCCATATTGTTGGATTTGTTCATGATAAAATGTTTTTACAAGTTGCCTGAATGCTAATGTTCCGTATAATACTTTCAAAATAGGCAAAAGATAGAAACGACTCAAATGTTCATCAACAGTTAAATAAACACGTTGTATATATACACTAAATGAAATACTTAAATTCATAACCATCACATTGATTCTTAGGTTTCGGAGGCTGTAGGAGATTGCACATCTTTCTCTGTGATAGAATACTATTCAGACATGCACTGCGATAGTGTTCTGACAAATGCTACAAATGGATGAACCCTGCAGTCATCATACTGAAACCAGTCAGTTACCAAAGGATACGTGTTGTGTGAGCTCAAAATAAAGTAAGGAAATATAAAGAAACCCAAGATTACTAATGCTATCAGAGGCGTTCTGAGAGCCTAGTGTGTGGGGAGTTTTGCATGCATCTCTGGTGGCTCAAGTCCACCTGCAGTCTTATGGGAGAAAGCGGGGCATTCTTCCCACCTGTAGAGATTTACAGCCTTAGAAACCTAGGATTGTTATGAGTCAGAATCGAGGGCAAGGCAGTGAGGTGGTGACACCAGGGGTGAGAGGGAGGAAAGGAGGAATGGAGAAAAGGTTGGTTTGTTTTTTTTTTTACTCAGGGGACATTGAACTACTAATAGTAGTGGAGTGATTTGGAAAAGAATATTGAGAGTAGTGGTACAACTTGAAGAATCTAATCAGGGTATATGCAGAAATGGTTGAGACGCACCTATTTGGTGACACATTTTCACAATTAAAAAACAAAAACAAAACACCTTTCCACTGGAGAAGGGGCAATCTCCCCCTATGCCAGTCGGATCCAATTAGATGGTACATGTTTGCACTAAAAAAGAAACACCAAAAACAAACCCCGAACTTCCTCCTCTGAAATTGGGGCTCAGGCAGATCTTGGAGTCACATAGCGACGGCTCATGATGTACTGAGATGCCACGGAAGCAGCACAGAATGCACTCCAGCTTTGGGCTCCCCTCCAGGTTACCCCTCAAAAATGCCTACAAGGTCCCCCAAAGCCATAAAGGTCAGGATACCTCTCTTGGACTCTAGAACTCCACTGGCACTTGCTGTCGCCATCCTCATAGTGCCTGCCACTCATCTACCACCCACTGCCCTGACAGACCAATGAGCTGGGGAGGCCCTGTGCTTAAAGTATATGGCTGCACATCAAAACATCTGTGATTTGACTCCACCAGCCTTTCTGGGAGAAATATCAGGTAGTCTGCTTCTGTAAAGATTTACAGCCTTGGACACTCTGGAACTGTTCTCCTCTGTCCTGCAGCGTTGCTAGTCAGAACTAGCTTGACGGCAGTGTGTCTGGACTGTTTTGAGTTCTCACAGACCAGGAACAGTGCTGCCTTTGCAAGAGGTGGTGATATTGCTTAAACAAAGAAGCAGTGTGCCAGGAAGTTTTAGGAAAAGAACGCTCAATTTAAATTTCTAAAAACCCAACACAGTCCTGCAACACACTTAAGTGTTACTGCAGGCAGCCATCAAGGGCATTTAGTGGCTCGACGGTAGAAATCCTTGCCTTCATGCCAAAGAGCCGAGATTGATTCCCAGACAGCACACCACATGCACTGCCACCATCTATCAGTAGAGGCTTGAGATGCTGAATAGGTTTCATGGGAGCTTAATGACTGAGACACACTAGAAAGGCTTGGAGATCAATTTGAGGGAATCAGCCAGTCAAAATCCTGTAGATCACAGCAGACTGATCTGCCCTAGGCATGGGGATGGATGGTTGGGGGCTGGACAAAGGAATAACAGCTTAGTTCTATTTTACGTGAAGTGCCTAGGAGTTACGGTAACTTGGAGACAGGCACCAGGCATCACCAGCAGCTGACTATGGGTGAGATTATTGCAGGTGGCCTCAGAGTCGATTCTGACTCATGGCGATCCTATTCTGAGTAGAAAGGGATCACGGGCTTTTGCTGGCTATAGTTTTTGTCGCAGCCGATCTTCTGGCACTTCTTTCATAGCACCAACAGGTGGGGCTGAACCACCAACCTTTCAGTTGAGCACAAACCATTTGCTCCACCCAGAGACAACAATGAGCTTAAAAACGTCACGCAATCAATCAGGAATCATCAACATGGGCTTCCAAACCCTTAGAAACTCTAACACCTCATGCAAGGATGTAAACATTTCCAGAGAGTCATGTTGCTGGGGCTCAGGGTGTGCGTCTTCACAGACGTCAGATCTCTCCAAGCCAGGTCCATCTGACCTCCCTCCACACCCATGCTGGACAGTCCTGTCCTTAGAAAACCCTGCCTGTGTCAGTCACTCCCCATCCCTGGCTTCCTTCCCAAACCGGCCTCCTGAAACCCTGGGTTACATTTGCTCCCAAGATCTGCACCCTAGCCAGCAGAGCCCCCCCACCACCCAAGGTGCTGAAGGCTGCCAGCTGAACCGGGCTTATCCCCAGCTGGGCCCAATAGGCTTGCTTGGCAGCTGGTGGGAAGCCCAGGGCTGATCCCAGCCCGGCTTGCAGCCAAAACCGGCCTGTCCACCCAACAGAAACACATACGCTGGCTGCTTGCCACTGTGTGTTTCCAGAAGAGAAATTTAATCTAATTTACAGACTTCTAGGTACATTGATAACCAAAAGGTGGCCACTGGAAAAAGTTAAAAGGTCAATCTGCCTTCCCGGTGTTTACTTGGCCCGGGATTGCAAAATAAAAAGATCGACGTTCCTTATTCTCTACACAAAACGCGTTTTTAAAAAAGTGAAAGGTCTAGGGAGCTATACATAGAAAGCAACAGTGAAAAGGGGGCGAGGGCATGGGTCAGAAGTAGGGAGGTATCCACCCCCCAGTGCCCTGAGGCTCTAGGGGGCCTGGACACGGCAGGATACAGCTGTCAGCTCTGAGCTCTAAGCTCTTCCCAGCTGGGAAGGCCCCTTGGGGACGGGGGCTGCCAATGAGGGTTTCCGTGGCATCGTGGGCTCAATGGGGGCTTCCCGGTCCCTTGGGGGCCCAACAGAGGGAGCAAAGCTTCCCCTGAGCAAGCACCATGGCGTGACGGGGCTGCTCGACACGGGAACTGGGGGGCTGGGGCAGATCCCGGGCCTCGCAAGGTGCGTGTGTGTGCGCGCGTGTGTGTATGCATTCGCGCATGCGCGCCTGTGTGTTTGCAAGTGCGTGCGTGTGAGACAGTCAGTGGGAACCAGAACAGGGGTCTTTGGGGTCTTTGCAAATGGCCACCGGTGGCAGACACAGCCTTGTGTAGCTGCAGGGCATAGGGCACCTCTGGCCAGCCCTGTAATTGGGTCAGCGGTCACCGAGATGTGGTCCCTGTCCTTGCTTGACCAGGTGGATGTGGGCTGCGGAAAGACACCCTGTGGCCCCAGAGTTCTCAGGCTGGGGGAAGGGCAGCTAACTGGCTCCCAGTGCCCCAGCTGTAGTGTGCCCGGCGCCCGGGGGTGCCGGTTTGAGGTTTTGGCTTGCTCCTTTGGAAACGGAAAAGAGGGAGAAAGAGGAGGATAAAGAGGAGGAAAAAGAGACAGAGGAATGAGAAAGGGTCTGGAATGCTTCTGTGTTAGGGCGCCTCAGCCGCTGCTGTCTGTGCCGGTGGGGCCTGGGGCTCCTCCGGCGGGGGGTCTGCTTTGGAGAAATTCATCTCCAGAATGTGCCGCTGTAAGTGCCGCACCCACTCCTCTTGGATGGAGAGAGGGCCCTGGAATTCCAGCTCACAGAACCTGTGGAAGTGAACAGAGAGGAAGGCGAGGTGAACGGCAGCCTTTCAAACCCCTGGGCACCCTGGCCGAGCCCTGGGGACCAGGCACATCTATGACTGCTCCGTGAGGACAGGAAAGCCCAAGATTTGAGGGGAGGGCTCCCAGAAGTCAAATGTTTCCCAATGGACAGCCACCTGTATCCCTCAATGGGTCACAGGGGGAGCCTCCCATCTGTCTGAGGTAGTATGCTGGTTGTCTGGCTGGGTAAGGACTCGGCCTCCTGACTACTGTGTCCAATCTCAGGCAGGTCCATGACGTAAGATGAGAGAATCAGAGGGAAAGCAGCTTCTGACCAGAGGGTTTCAGAATTCACCCACTCGTCTCTTCACGCTCAGACAACCAACTCCCCCAGACCCTTTCCTCATGTCTTCCCAGCATTAAGTCCAGGCTCAGTGCTCACCGTTAGAGGTACTGAGTCAGTCCTCATATGACATCTATTAGGTAGGTCTGTTACTGACCCACTTCATAGAGTAGAAAATTGAAACATAGAGCAGGTGAGTCCTTGTCCAATGTCATTAGCTGGCTAAGTGTCAGAGCTGGAACCCAAAGCCAGGATTCTCCAGCTGCAAAGCTTTCTTAGCCTAGAATTCCTGAGGGAGCCCAGGCCCGGCCACACTCATTATCAGACCTGATGCTGTTCAGAGGTTCTGGGCGCTACAACTCCCAAGAGCCAGTCTCCCCACTCCCAGGGGGCCATATACCTGCACTTGAGTGTGTAGATGTTGCCAACAAACTTGACGAGTGAGGTCTGGGGGGGCCGGGGCACCAGCGAGGGCACTGGTCGGACCCGGGGCGGGGGCTGCCGTGCCTCCTCTAACTTCTGTTGTAGATCACTCATTTCCTCACCACCCCGGGCCGAGGCTGCATCCGGGGGCCGGGCTTGGCGGCGCTCAAATTCTGAGAGAAGTGCGGAAAGTGAGTTGAGGGCAAGCCACTGGGGAGGTCCCTGCCTGTAGCTACCAGGGAACAGATGCTGGTGGGGGCAGGCTTGTTAACAAGACAGCAGGTGGCAGAACACTGCCTAGATGGACCCAGGGACAGTGTGGAATGGAGGACACAGAATGGCAGGTGTTACAGATTGAACTAACAAGCTGATCAAGGTGTTAGAATGATGCATGGACAACTGCCGAGAGTAAGCCTGTAACCATGACAAACGGGGTCAGCAGACACATACGAGGTCGCTCAGCTGCCCCCATCCCCACTCCTGGTACTCACTGTTGATGTTCTGCCGCTGGTACTCCTCAGCCTTCACAGTGCCCGGTGGGCTGGCCACCAGGGGCCTCTCCCCGCTGTCGGCTGCCCGGCCTGCCTCAGGACCCAGCTCACCCCCGACACTGCGGCCAACCATGGCCAGGCCACCAGGCATAAGGCCAAAGGCCAGCCGCTTGTCACCATCACGGCCATGGCCTGCGCTGCGGAACTTCTTGGTGAAAGGGCGGCCACCCTGGATATAGCTGCGGTAGGCGCCCACCTTCTGGGGCCGATGTTTGATCCATTCACTCAGCGTCTCAATAGGTGAGCCATTGACGCACCATTCAGTCACGCCGAACTGTCGCAGATGGGCCCGTGCATGGCTGGCCAAGGCCTTGCGGTTTTCAAAATAGAGGCCACACAGCTCACAGCAGGCCTCGGTGGCTGCGAGTGAAGGGGTGCTACTGAGCCACAGTCCAGAGGAGGCCTGAGGACCCAGGCACCCTGCCCTAGGCTGAGGGCCAATCCCACCTTTCCTGGGGCCTCCCCACCTGGCCACTGCCTTGGGCCAGCGTGTGCCCAGCATGGCCCTCCCCGCCCGCCGCTTACAGGAGTGGGAGGTCTTCTCATGGATGGTCTTGGTCTTGAAGGGTAGTTCAGTCTGGATGTAGGTCTTGGCCTTGACCTCTGCAGGGAGGAGACGG